CACGGGATATCATCAGCTGCGAATTAAGGAGGAGGATATTCCTAAGACTGCTTTCCGTACCCGTTATGGTCATTTCGAATATACGGTGATGCCGTTCGGATTGACTAACGCCCCCGCAGCATTCATGGATTTGATGCACAGAATCTTCCGGCCTTACCTCGATCAATTTGTCATTGTGTTCATTGATGACATATTGATCTACTCACAGACTCAGGAGGAACATGCTCGTCATCTCTCTATTGTGCTACAAACATTGAGAGAACATAAGCTATACGCGAAGATGAGCAAGTGTGAGTTTTGGATGAAGGAAGTGAAATTCCTTGGCCATGTTGTGTCCGAGCGCGGAGTAGCGGTTGATCCCGCCAAGATTGAGGCTGTGATGAAATGGGAACCACCGAAGAATGTAATGGAAGTACGGAGTTTCTTGGGGTTAGCCGGTTATTATCGAAGGTTTGTGGAAGGGTTCTCCAAGCTAGCGATGCCGATGACTCGCCTTACAAAGAAGGGGGAGAAATTCTTGTGGACTCCAGCGTGTGAACTAGCTTTTCGCACCTTGAAGGAGAAATTGACGACAGCACCTATCCTCATTATTCCGAGCAGTGGGGAGGGCTACGAGGTATACACTGATGCTTCACTACGAGGCTTGGGATGTGTTCTAATGCAAGGAGGGAAGGTAGTTGCCTATGGCTCGAGGCAACTCAAGATTCATGAGCAGAACTATCCCACTCACGACTTGGAGCTTGCCGCGGTGGTCTTTGCTCTTAAGTTGTGGAGGTGTTACTTGTATGGCGAGAAATTTCAAGTGTTCTCGGACCATAAAAGCCTCAAGTACATATTCACCCAAAAAGACTTGAACATACGGCAAAGAAGGTGGATTGAGTATTTAGAAGATTATGATTTCACACTTAACTACCATCCGGGGAAGGCCAATGTAGTTGCAGACGCTCTTAGCAGGAAGTCTCGGGGTGAAATCAATTCTCTCGCGATAAATAGGTGGAAAATGATTGATACTTTGGAGGAGTACGATCTATGGGTGGATGGACCGGAGTACCAACCATATTTATTCAACCTTGTAGCTCAACCGACGCTTCGACGACGGGTGGTAGAGTTGCAATGCCTAGATTCGGAACTCGATTTGATTAGAGTCCGATTGGGGAATGGAGAAGCTATTAAAGGATGGTCTTGGAAGAATGGAGAGTTGAGATATGGGGAGAAGCTATGTGTTCCCGATGATTCGTCCTTAAAGGAGGAGATACTTGGAGAGTGCCATCGCTCCAAGTTTGCTATCCACCCCGGTAGCACAAAGATGTATAGGGACATGAAGCGTCAATACTGGTGGAGGGGAATGAAGCGAGATGTGGCCAAATATGTGGCAAAATGTGCGGTGTGTCAGCAGGTGAAGATTGAGCATCAAAGGCCAGGAGGAGTCCTACAGTCCTTGCCTATTCCCAAGTGGAAATGGGATCACATTACTATGGACTTCGTGTCGGGTTTACCACGGACGTCGCGCGGGCATAATGCAGTGTGGGTCATTGTGGATAGACTCACCAAGTCTGCTCACTTTTTGAGTATGAAGACCACGGATACATTCGAGACCTTGAGCCAGTTATATATCCGTGAGATAGTGCGGTTACATGGAGTTCCGCTTTCTATTGTGTCGGATCGTGACTCTCGGTTTGTGGCGCGATTTTGGCAAAGTCTACAACAAGCCATGGGGACAGAGTTACATTTCAGTACCGCGTTCCATCCCCAAACAGATGGCCAATCTGAGAGGGTGATACAGATTGTGGAAGATATGCTACGTGCATGTGCGTTGGACTTCAAGGGGAGTTGGAGTGACCATTTGCCGTTGGTGGAGTTCGCGTATAACAACAGCTATCAGGCAAGCATTGGGATGGCACCGTATGAAGCATTGTATGGAAGACCGTGTAGATCCCCGACGTGTTGGTTAGAAGCGGGCGAGAGTAGCTTGTTTGGGCCAGAGATTGTTCGGGAGACTACAGAGAAAATTCAGCTCATCCGGGAAAGACTACGCACGGCACAGAGTAGACAGAAAAGCTATGCGGATCGAAGACGAAGACCATTAGAATTCCAAGAGGGGGACTATGTATTCCTTAAGGTGTCCCCCAAGAAGGGAGTATTTCGATTTGGCAAGAAAGGGAAATTAGCACCAAGATATACCGGACCCTTTGAAGTGATCAAAGTTGTGGGCAAAGCGGCATATCAGTTGCGGTTACCAATTCAGTTGTCTGGAGTACACGACGTATTTCACGTGTCCATGTTGAGAAAGTGTCAATCGGATGCAACGCCGGTCGTAGACTTGGAAGACATTGAGATTCAAGACGGAGCAACCTATGAAGAACAACCGGTGAAGATTCTTGACGCCAAGGCGAAAGTGCTTCGCAACAAAGTAATCAAATTGGTGAAAGTCTTGTGGCAACATCATGGAGTGGAAGAAGCTACTTGGGAACCGGAGCTGGAAATGCGGGAGAAGTATCCATTTCTGTTCGTTACTGGAGGTAAGTTTCGAGGACGAAACTTTCTTTAAGGGGGGTGGATTGTAATACCCCACATGCGTTTAAAAAAAAAAAAATAAAAAAATAAAAGACATAGGTGTTCAGTAATTATTTCATTTGAAATGATAAAATAGTATAACTCAAGGAAAGAGTAGTTAAAAGATTAGTTTCGGTATGAAAATGTACAAAATAAATCATAAAAGAACTTGAACTAATTAGGTCGATGTAGAAAAGTATGTAGGATAAGTTAGGATTAAAGTTGGAAGGATTGGAAGTGAAAAGGGGCGCCCAAATGGGCGCTGGGGCGCTGCTCCGGGTACATTGCCTACTCCGGACCAGTTGTCGTAGAATCGTCATAACTCTTGCTACAATGGTCCGATTGAGCTGAAATTTTGACACAATGCAGAAGACATCTAGATCTACAACTTTCATGTTTTGCACTTTTTCAGATTCAAAGTTTATCATGATCAAAAATAAGGAAAACAGTAAGTCTGGAAAACCCCCAAAACAGACGATGAACAGTAAAAGTCGGGATTTTTGGGTTTTAAAACACCCATTCCAAGCCCTATTTCTCCCATTCTTCATTTCCCTTCCACTCTAAATACCTTAGAGCCCTAAGAGAAGAGAAAAGGGAGAGAAAAACACCAAGGTCAAGAGAGATTCCCACCTCATAAAGATCAAAACCGAATTTCTCAAGTTTTCTCTTCTCCACCCATTTCTTTTGCTTCTATTCCTCAACCACTCACACCCAAATCTCTAGAAACCCTAGGAGGACGAAATTAAGAGGAAAAGGAAGGAGAATAGGAAGATTTTGAATCTTGGGTCTTAGATTGAAGCTACAACCAAGAGGTAGGGGATTTCTTCCTAATTTCTTACATTGAGGCTAGGGTTTATGTATATACATATGTTTTCCACTCCCATCCATATTTATTTGATATGATTTGTATGATTCTTAATTCTCCTTGTAATAAATGCTATGTTTGAATAATGGGATGGTTTGGTAACCATTAAATTTCTCTTTTTCATCTTCCAAACTTGGTTTTAAGAAAAATTGAGTTTTCTCCATATATTGCCTTGGTTCTCACTTTATAAATTTAGTGTTCGATATTGTTCAACGAAAATGATCTTTATATTGATCTTTTGCTCATTTTAATTCCATCTTGCTATGACGCTTTACTTGTGAAATTTGGGTATTTTGCGATTAATTGGTAAAATGTGAATTGATTGAGAATATGTTGGTTTACTCATTGTATGGTGGTTGGGAGGGACTTGGATTACCTACGAGATATGCCGTAGAGTGTAAATGTCAGTTGAACCCAGTAGGGGGGGAGATGGTTTCTTGCACTTGTAGTGAGTTGTCATTTGGTAATGCGACCACTATCGTACGCTTGGAGTTCGAACTAGGGTTGGTATACCATTCCTGGGGAGGGACTCGTCACTGCCATTGGGATGATAGACGCCCCTTCCCTAAGTACTTGTGATTGTGATTATAAATGGGTGGACTAGGTATAATCGTTGGGTAGATTCATGAGAAACAATCAACATACATGGTACGGGGATGAACCAACATAAATGTGATGATTGGCTGGAATGGCTTGGCCGGTGCGTTGGTATGGGACGATGCATCGGAGGGAGCCCCTCCTAATTGACTTAATGTTGGAAATGGTTTGCTATGGTTAAACTTAATTTATTTCTCTCCTTAACTACTGTATGGCTTAAACTTGAGATCTATTTAAAATGTCCCGTTTTACTTCAAATTCATATATGTTATTTATGAAATGTGACCGACCCGTTTTGTATTTTATAAACCTTGTTGGAGTTGGGAAGATTTTGCTACAGAGCCTAGTGCTCATCCCCTACTGTTAACATTTTTCAGACTATATCCTTGAGGAGGAGCCAGGAGTCGAGGAGCCCGTTCTTTGGGAGACTCCGATCGACGGGAGCGTAGATCCCGAGGTGGACGCCTAGAGCGGCCCTTCTATTTTGTTCTAGACTAGGCTATGTTTTTTTTGAAAGATTGTAAAGTCTAGTTATCTTTTGAAATTCCGCTGCTTATCATAGTTTAATTCTTTGGGAATGTACATGCCATTGTGGGCATATTTTTTTGGGTTAACATGTAAATTTGATGGATTGATTATATAGTAGTTAATTGGACCCGGTGTGGTCATTATAGTAGAATTGCACAGGTTGGATTTTGTGGTAGAGCTCCCCGTACAAAGGAGACTCTGCCCGAATTTTGTTAAAATATCAATGGTTGATGGATAAAAATTTCTTATTTATGGATTTATTTAGTGCTCTCATGATTGTGAAAGGTTTTAGAATGTAATGCCGTCCGCCTGTTAAGGATGCGCAGTCCTGGTATCCCACATCAGTTACGAAGGGGGGGAGTGACTGGGCTATATTGGGCCACCCCGGCTACCTCTTTTAAGAGGCGGCTTGGGGATGTTACATTTATTGATGCTTGTACAAAGACAATTCTTCCCTTTAACCATATTTCTGTGAAAGCCTAAAATGAGAGATTTGAATATTTTCAACATTAAGTTTCTGAAAATTACTGCATCTTCGAGTTGCGAAAAACTTCCCCCAGTTATATGCCTTGTACTTGGTAGGGTTTTGATCATCTGTCAGCTCTTTTAGGGGTTCCACCATGGTGTAGTGGGCTGGGTTGAAGAAGAATGGAATGGAAAGCCTGTCTTTCTCAGAATTCACTACTGCCTTGTACTCCACACTTTCATACCTTTCATTGCTCCAAACTTGTATATATATATATATATATTCACACACACCAAATGACATTGTCAGCATGACAAACCTCTCATTTTTTGTATGAGTAGTCTAATAGTAGCATAATCAAAAAAATTTATTCAATGATCACCATTCATGAGTTATTGGTAATGCCAGGTTTCCAATGTATCGGGACTATGAAAATCGCTCCATATAATCAAGAAATTAATACATATTTGTTAAGTTGCAATATATTTATGATTTTATCACGTAATTACTTATTTCAACTAATTTCATCATGCATTTTCCAAGTGCAAAAACCATAACAAAACAAAACAATGAGTGTGCATACACACGTGTGCGTAGATCTCCCATAGTACATGATTAGAAATTATAATTTAACAAATTTGAGAGGGCCATGGAAATTGAAATATCGATCTATAAAGTAAAATTTTGAGAACTTGATGGCCACGACCACCTACGCCACAACATGGCTCCGTCTCTGATTATCGAGGACGTGTGGTTGCAAACAAAATCAAACCAATTATGGTAAATATAGAACACACAAATGTGGATAGATTTTTTTTACTCTAGTTATCTGTTATTATTATGGCGGTCGTATTGTTAATGAATACTATTCTAGAGCTTATAAAGCTTGTACATTGTTGGCATAGTACATTTTACATGACTATGGCTCAATCATATAATTCTATCCTTCATGTTTAATGGTAAGTAGCTAGTTGTCTCAATAGTTACCCAAATGTTCCTTCGAGTTGCCTATAGGTCACTCATATGCATGGATTATGGTACCTGAATAATGTCACCAACATTGATAATATAAGCACCACGAATAGGTTTGACCCGAATCCACTTTCCATTTGCTTTCTGCTTCATTTCGAGTCCTCCAACATCGTCTTGAGCGAGGATGACTAGGGCACCGGGAATCCTTGTGGCGGCCAATCCCAAGAGCTAGTTGAGGAATGGGACAAAGCGGATAGTGGTTGAGCCGCATGTAGCTAGTTTGGTCTTCAAAGAATCCATTCAGACGATTAGCCAGCAGGTCTAAGCTCAGAGAGATTAGTTCCATCAACTTGTAAGCTAGATTTTGCCCTTCTTGAGCATAGTGTTCGCATTCTTCTCTGGAAGACCCAAATCTACTAGTTAGTAAATAGGGAAAAATGAAAGCGGTACAATTTTTAAGACTTATTTGAATAAAAGTTTATTTAAAAAAATATTTTGAACAAAAATTTATTTTGAGGCAAAATAACTGAAGTATCCTCTAAGCAGACTTACTAATGCATCAAAATCTCTCTCTATTTTCTCTCACTGTTACTCTCTCTCGAGTAAATATTGAATGCAACGGGGATACTATGTTAGTAATGTTAACACAGTATTATCAACCAATAATAAAACACCAAGTGGGCAAGGTGAACCTCACTTGAGTAGTTATTTGCTTACATGGAGGAAGAATGATTAATTATTTACTTACATGGAGGGTTGATTATTAATTTTAATGAGATCCATTTACTTATTTATTTTGATATTATTAGTTAGTAATATCACGTTAACATTGCCATGTGGTATTGCCATTAAATCACTCACTCACTCCCTCTCTCTCCCTCTCTCTTTATCTCCCTATTTTCTCTGACCGATACTCTTACACTCTCTCCCTATTTTCTCTAACAGTTACTCTCTTATTCTCTCTCCCTATATTTTCTCTCTCACACTCTTTTTCTCTGAAGCGTAATCAAGACAACATTACTCTCTCTGTATCCATATTTTTTTTATTTCTCTTTCTCCCCTTATTTTCTCTCTCCATTGAAAAAATATGGAAATATGGCAAACCTTCCCGAAAATGAAGATCAAGGAAGGAGGGAGGCGACCCAAGAGCAGTGGAGCCTCGAGAAAGAGGTCACCAAGTTAGAATAGCTACACACACGCTTTGGCAAGGAAGTTGGCCTATCTTGTGTTCAAGCAAGATTCATTTTACTATCTTGTGTTAAAGCGAGATTCATTTTGCACATGTTAGTCTCTCACTGGTTAATGATTAATGATCAGTCAAGAAGAGAATTTGAAAAAAAAAAAGTATTTCCTTTACCGCTTGAACAAAAATAATTCCAAAAATTACCTCAATTCTGGTGGATTATCGGGCCACTGATTAAAATACTCTCTCAACTCCTTATCATCAGGCTCATGAGAAGCAAGAAACAGTGTTGGATTTTGTATGATAAGATCAAACACCTCTTTCCAGTCTCTAACATTCTTGGTATGCTCAGTATCATAATACCCCAATGGGTTCACTTCATCTCTCCTCACCTTTTTCTTCTCCTCCTTTGATAGAGCGAATAACTTCCTCGTCGTGATCTCAAGGTTTTTTCGCCATTCTAATGGCACCCCATGGTTGATCACTTGGAAGAAACACCAGTTCTTGCAGGCCTTAGCTATCTCGAATATAAGAGGTCTTGTGGCTGCGGTGTCAGGCTTCGACAAGTTGGGGGAGTTTAGAACGGAGAGATCAATCAGTGGAATGTCGTCTGCTTCGACAATGGCGAGTTTTGGGCGGTGCTCGGTGGCTTGGATGAAGGCTGTGTCTACTTCTCCCAAGGCTGCAGGGTGAGTGGTGGGTGACACATGGGAAGCAATTTAAGTTGTGACAAAAAACCGTCAATGTTATTGTGTGTTTACACACACACACACACACACACACATATATATATATATATATATATATATATATAGGGGGGGTGGGTGGGTGGTGGAGTGGGTGGGGTTATCATATACATTGACCCTGGACACTTGTAATCCTATGTTTGAACCTTCTAAGTCCATGACAAAAAACCTTGTAGGTTGTAATTAAGCTTAACAATTCATGACTAAGGTATGACACGACATAAATTTCGAACGTTCAAAAAATCGATTCCAATTTGTAAAATAGTAATTTTTTTTTCTTTTTTTTGTTTACATAATTTAATTGATGTCTACTCATTTTTCTAAAAAAAATTGACATTTTTTTTTCCAAATACATGATCTAAAAAAAAAATATTAAGATGTGTATAATATCATATATGAATAATAATTGAAATAAACATTATATTGAGTCATAAATTAATTAAAAATAAAATAATTTAAGTTACGATAAAAATAAGCGAAAAAAATATACGAAGATAAAATTCAAACTTTTATATATTATATTGATGTCATAGTTGTGTATGCACTTGCTTTGAAAGGATTTGCCGGGAAAAAAAGAGACTAACTTGGGCATGACTAGTTTTCTTTTTGGGAAATGCTATTTGTATTTAATTTAGTGATTTTATTTGATGACATAATAGATTATAACCATTAAATTAATAGTAGGTTCCAACTAATAGTGTGATTCACTGTCAATCTAATGACAGAGAATGATAAGGTCATCAAATAAAGTCACTAAATAAGATTCATGTAGCATTACTCATTCTTTTTTGGTATTATATCTCAAGCCAAAAAAAAGTGTCCGTATCATACCATCACTATAAAATTTGTGGACTTTTTTACAATTTTTTATGTTCATTTATAATTTTGTGGGGACTTTAGATTGATCGTAAGTTACCATAAAAAGTTGTCAAAAAAAAAAAATTATAACTCAAACTTTAAAAATTGTAAGACCCCCAAAAATTGTAAATTTTTTTATAGTAAACAAACCAAACAAATTGTATCAAAACCTACAAAACTTGGAGATACAATACGAAATTCTTTTTTTTTTCCTAGTATCGTAGTCTTCTCCCTAAATACAAAACGCTCCATGTGATGAAACGAACAACTAGGTGTGAATATCTTATAAGGAGTGGTAAAATATGCATCGAACCTAGACACATTTTTTACTATGTTTCAACTTTGATGCTTATTAATCAGCTTTGACACATCAACCATCATGTCATTTGATCTTTTATTTTGGTCCTTTTATTTGGTCAGTGTAGCACTATTCTTATTAAAATTATTTACGGATTCTTGTTGTGAATGAGACAGCAAAAAATCAACAGGAAATCAAAGATGAAGACTACAAGTAAATTTTGAAGAGGAAGCTAGAACATGTGAATCAAACTATTTCATGTTATAATACTTATGGAATACTGATAATACTAAGAATAAAAAAATAACTTTGCTCAACAGCAGAAGAAGACAAGTCAGCTTAGCTCAGACACAAGTTAGCATCAAGTAAGTAGTTTTGCAAACAATTTCGGTTAAACTAAAATACCTTGGGCCACAAGAGGAAGAGGGATGAAGAATACCACCATCTCCAGATCTCATCTAAGAATAAAATTTCTAGAAAGACACATCATACCTAGAGAATGTAGTCTATGGTCCAATATTTTCCCCGATATTCTAACAGATCAAGGGACCACTAAAGATGACTTGAGGACCACTCTACTAAGACAATATAAATAGGAAAATCTTAGCCTAAAAAAGGCAAATGATTGAAACTGTCTTTTTCCAAAAAAAAAAACAATAGAAATCTCTAGAGCAAGATGAACATGGTTTTTGTCAGAAGCAGAGGCAAAAATAAAATTAAATGTGACAGTTGAATCAAATCGCATCATTTTGCATTTCAATGGTGTTATTTTAAATTGTTCTTTTAAAAAATAGTTGACTTTTATCTAATTGTTTATCATTCATATAAAATGCCCTGATTCTAACCAAACTTTTTCAACAATCATGTTACGTTTGGATTGATCAACTCAACTCATGAAATAGAAATCTACGAATGTTGCTCCCATCTTTTTTCTAGCAAATTTGTCACTAACAAACCTCCTGTAAACCAAAATATTCCACAATATCAAAGAACGAGAAACATGAAATAAATTCACAATTTCCTATATTGAATACTGATTAAATGGGTTTGTCATGTCAAAATTGAGTTATTCGTGCCTGAAATTAATCCACCTCGTTTATTATTTGCGTTAGCAGATCGTACATGAATTTTTAACAATAACTTGTTAATTTCATGTCAGATTCATACAACAATAACATGTGGTGACGAAAATTGCCTCTTAGATAGAATGCATGCTTCAATTATTGAAATTGCCATTTTAGATGAAGATTCCAAGTGAAGGCTGATGGCATATATAGTAACACAATACTTATTCAGGGGTTTCTTGTGCTAAAATTAGATTAATAACGTTTGAAACTAATTTGGTTCATTTATGCATGGTTGTGTTAACACATTGTATAATTTCAACTTGGCATCAGGAATTATTCAACTATAACTCATTATTTCATGTCAAATTTATGCTTCACATCAAAAACTACGACCCCCAAGTAGAATAGGAGAAAAGAAGGAAAATCAACAAGTAACTTTTATTTCAATATCCATCTTTATATATAGGAGTATCCATTATTTATAATTATACGGAGGATAATATTTCATAGGAAGGCAAAGCTAAGACACTTGTATTGATGATGCTTGCACAAAGGCGATTCTTCCCTTTAACCAAATTTATCTGGGAGCTTGAAATGATAGATTTGAATATTTTCAACATCAAGCTTCTGGAAATTGCTGCGTATTCGGTTTGTGAAATACTCCCCCCAGTTATATGGCTTATACTTGGCAGGGTTTTGATCATTTATTAGCTCTTCCAAGGGTTCCACAATGGTGTAGTGAGCGGGGCTGAAGAAGAATGGGATGGAGATTCTGTCTTTCTCAGAATTCACTACTGCCCTGTGCTCCACACTTTCATACCTATCATTGCTCCAAACCTGTACATATATTCACACACACACCACACGACATCATCAGAACAATGAACCTCTCATTTTTGTGCGAGTAGTCTAATAGTAGCGTTATCCGAAATTTAATGCCAGGTTTCTAATTGTATCAAGCCTATAGAAATCATTCAAGAAAATAAACTCATACTTGTCAAATTAGATGTAAAATATTTCTGATTAATTCAAGAAGACGATGGAGAATTTTAGGTTGGTTTTATTACGTAATCACTTAGTTCAACAAATTTCATCATGTTTGTGTGCGTCTGCAGATTTCTCATAATACAAGAGTATAGAGTGTAATTTGGTAAACTTGAGAGGGTCATGGAACTAAAATATCGATCTTGACTTATAGTTATAAAGTAAAATTTTGAGAACTTGATGGCCACGGACACCTGGGCCATAACTAGGTTCCGTCTCTTATTATCAATAACAGGGGGTGGTTGCAAACAAATTCAAACCAATTATGGTAAACATAGAATTGTTCCGTGAGACGTACATGTCTTTGATTCATAAGTCTAAATCTGTTCCTAGCTTGGTGCACAATCATTTGTGATGGATGGACAAACAAGAACACAAATGTGGATAGATCTTTGTTATCCGTTATTGTTGTAGCGGCCGTCAATACTAGAACTTATAAAGCTTCTAAGTTGTTGGCGTAGTATATTTTACATGACTATGACTCAATCATATGATTCTACCCTTCATGTTTAATGGTAAATAGCTAGCTAGTTGTCTCAATAGTTCCCCTAATGGTCCTTCGAGTTGCCTATAGGTCACTCATATGCATGGACTATGGTACTAGGAATTTTAGCATCCAAGTGAATTCATTTAAAAACATCTTGAATGGTACCTGAATAATGTCACCAACATTGATAACATAAGCATCATGAGTAGGTTTGACCCGAATCCACTCTCCATCTGTTTTTCGCTTCACTTCGAGTCCTCCAACATCGTCTTGAGCGAGGATGGCTAGGGCAACGCCATCCTTGTGCTGGCCAACCCCAAGAGCAAGGTGAGGAACGGGACAAGCTGGATAGTGGTTGAGTCGGATGAAGCTGCGATGGTCTTAAAGAATCCGTTCAGACGATTAGCCGGCAGGCCTAAGCTTAGAGATATGAGTTCCAACAATTTGTAAGCTAGTTTTTGCACTTCTTCAGCATAGTGTTCGCATTCTTCTCTGGAAGAGCCCAATCTATTAGTAAAGTACAAAGACCAATTTTGTGAAATAGTTGTGGGTCTAGAGGAAGGCCTGCTCTTCTTTTTTTAGTTAGCGTTAAGGGTGTTTGAACTAGTTTACATGCACGTCGACTAATCGTCTTTTTGATCTGGTCAGATACATGTTATCCACCTCCAGATTAAAATATTCATTAGGGATAAATTCCACCCGTGTTACTACTTACACTAACCTTGGGGTCGAAGGCCTTTTCAACTATTCACTTCAAATTGCAAGGAGCACTAAACAAAAACATTGGTGATTAATGAACTTCACTTAATTTTTTTTAAGAGAATGCTATTTGGATATAATTTGGAGATCTAATCTGGGGACCTGATTAAATATAATCATTAGATCGGTAGTGGGCTCTATCTAATATTAAAATTCATAACTAATCCAATAGTTGTATTGAAGCCACATCATTAAGTTCTCAAATTAGATATATATATATATATATATTTGTTGTCCTAAATGTTCTTTAGATTATCTATATATATTTGTTGTCTTAAATATTCTTTAGACTTAATTTTTCTCTACCATTGAATTAGTAGTAAATTTCACTATTAGTTTGAGCCTACTATCACTTAATGACTATGGTGCATTAAATTATTAAATTAGTTTCAAATAACATTTTTTTTTACCGTTTTAAGGCTAAAATTTCATGGCCCAACGGTTGGGCCAGCGTTACATATGATGGTTTGTGGGGAGCTCCTTAGCTCGTCATGTAGGGTCATGGACTAGGTTTTGAGTTTATCTTAGACTGGAGACTTGGAGAGACCGGGCTATTAAGGCCCGGGATAATTGCCCACCGAATTGGGCCACACCCAAACCCATTGGCATGCTTAATTTCATGGGGCTTAGGGAGGCTGGTACCTCCCAAAAAACTTAATAGGATAAAATTATACTTTTTAAAATAATTGGGATAGAAGTACATATGTTAAAAAAAAGTCATAAAAGCCCTTTTACCCCTACCATAAATAGTGTATACCTAATTGAATGTGAGACTTTGAATATTAGAATGTAAAACTTTTAAGATTTATTTTGATATTTGTGTATCATTTGAATTTTAAAATTTCACACACACATATATATACACACACACACACACACACACATATAATATAGTGACATCAAACAGTGACACGCTCAACAAAAAAATAGTAACATTAAACAGTAACACACTCAACAAAAAAATAGTAACATCAAACAGTAACACATTCAACAAAAAAAATAGTAACATCAAACAGTAAAACAAATATTTTTATTGAGCGTGTTACTGTTTGATGTTACTCTTTTTTTGTTAAGTGTGTCACTGTTTGATGTTACAATTTTTTTGTTGAGTGTGTCACTGTTTAATGTCACTGTATTACATGTGTGTGTGTGTGTGTGTGTATATATATGAAATTTTAAAATTCAAATGATACAAAAATATCAAAGGTAATATTGAAAGTCTCATATTCTAATATTGAAAGTCTCACATTCAGGTAGATATGCACAATTTATGGTAGGGGTAATTATGAAATACATTTTAGAAAGAATTTGAAAATGTTTTAAAATGTGTACTATTTGATAACTATTTGATGAAAAAAAAGACTTAAAGGAGAATAAGTTTAGAGATGATACTTAAAGTCAAATAAGTTTTGAAAAAAGTACTCACATTTCTTTATCTCTAATTTCATTATGCAAAATAAATAAAAAATAAAGGTCAATTATGAGGCCCGTGAGATGAGAATAAAACTGATAAATAGCATCTAAATAGCTTGCCTCAGGTCCATTAGCTAAGGCCCAATAGATAGCTCCTTGGGACATCCTTTCCATTGGCGGCAGCTCGGCTTGCTTGGCAGTAGCTGATTGGGTAGGCTGGTCAAGCCAAATCTGACTTTTATCTAATGTTATTGAACCGGACCAGCCGGTGTCCAGTTCAACAATTATTGCCATATTATTAAAGGGAAAGATAATGCCGGGTATCGAAATTATACATCAAATAATATAGCAATAATCTTTGAATGTTTGGTAAAGTCTTTGAAAGTTTGGTTTAGTCTTTGAATGTTCAGTAAAGTCGGTGGGTTCATTAATTCAACAAACACTCAACACACTAATTTGGTGCAAAAAATTCCGAATAAATTTTGGTGCGTTGAGAGTGTTACTGTTATCAAAATTGACAGCAGCTTTGGTTACCCTTAATGATTAAAGTTCCTCTTGTATTCTTAGGAAATTATTTATCACAAAAATAAAGAAGGTGATGAACAATAATATGTTTAGATGCTTTTAAACAAGTAGTGATTGATAACGGGCTACACACTTGCTTTTGCGAGTAAGCCAACCCATCAATCGAGATTCATTTTTCATATATGAGTATCACTAATTAATGACCAACGACTCATCAAAAAGAGAATTTAACAAGAATAATTCAAAAAATTACCTCAATTCTAGTGAATTATCGGGCCACTGATTAATATACTCTTTCAACTCGTTATCATCAGGCTCATGAGAAGCAGTAATAAGTGTTTGATTATGTACGGTAAAATCAAACACTTCTTTCCAGTCTCTAACATTCTTTGTATGCTCATTATCATAATATCCCAATGGATTCACTTCATTTCTACTCACCTTCTTCTTCTCCTCCTTGGACAGAGCGAAGAACTTTCTTGCCCCGATCTCAAGGTATTGCCGGGGTTTTAATGGCACCCCATGGTTGATCACCTGAAAGAAACCCCAGTTCTTGCAGGCCTCACCTATCTCGGCTATAAGAGGTCTTATGGCTGTGGCGTCGGGCTCAGGTGAGTCGGGGGAGTTTAGAACGGAGAGATCAATCAGTGGAATGTCGTCTGCTTCGACAACTGCGAGTTTTGGGCGGTACTCGGTGGCTTGGATGAAAGCTGCGTCTACTTCTCCCATGGCTGCAGGGTGAGTGGTGAGTGACACAAGGGAAGCAGTTTAAGTTATGGCAAAAGCTATCTATGTTATTGTGTATAAAATGTGTCCAGGTTCAATATACATAATAACCCCAACCACCCCCTTTATATGTGTATTGTAAGTAAATGTCAAACACAGTTGTGTATCTATTTGGTTGGAATGAACTTTCCGGAGAAAAAAAGGAGTCTAACTTGGGCTGGACAATTTTTCTTTGGTATCATATGTGAACTTCGGAGAAGTTTATACCATCGGTATCTGCCATTAATATAAATTTTATGATATTTTTTTTATAACTTTTGAAATTTATTTATGATTTTTATAATAATTTACGATCGATTTTAAAAAACATTATGATAGTAAAAAATCACAAAAAGTGATAACTTGGCTAAAAAAAATTGTACTCAAGAACAAATTACACATGTAGCTCCTAAGCTAATAACTTGTGTCAATCCAGTCCTTGAACTTAATTTTATGTCAATTGAGCCGTCCAATTACCTGATTTGTAGCAATCTAGCCCTTCTATTAAGCACAATCAAAATCACCAATGACTAATCGATGAAAAAATTGAGTTCAGGTACGATATTGCATTTTTTTTGGGTATCATAGTCTTCTCTCCAAACTTTTAGTCTACCAAAAATGTGGTATACATGTAAAGTTTTCATAATGGTGGGATTTCGGTATGGGCCGCCCATCCAAAACAAAAATGTTTAATGGGCTTTTCTGTGCATCATGACCCAAATGGCTCATCCATAGCTTGCCTGCCCACCCTGCATTTAGGATGGCCGCCCCCCAAAGAAGGAAGTCCAACAACATCCAAATGGGTAAGTCTTAGCTTAGCTTCCGTCCAACTTGGCAGGGATCAGTATGGGAACAAGGAGCTCGGTGCCCTTTTAGATCCTGAACTACTTCCACTGTGCCACATGTCTTGGGGAGAGGGGGACAACCTTTGGAGCACTTAACGAACATGCACTCTCTGGTAAAAGAAATATTTGTGCACATAGCCTGATGGTGTATGTTTACTGTGGATGAACAGATTATATGATTATTCAAGTAAGTATAGATCTGAGCTGCAAAACGCGTGTGAAATAAGGGGAGAGTTGGGTAGTGGGTAGATGCTTCACACAGTGGATGTATAGTGGTTCACCGGCTCGGGAGCTCGACTAATCCACTCTTTCATGGAGTCTCTTGCCCCTTGGGTCAGTATTAATGTCGATTGTGATTTACAGAGTATTTCTGATAACACTAGGGTTCCTCCCCCTTACATTGGAGATACTATACAGTATTTATAGCCCTGTTCCTATTACTAAGGGATCTACAAGGAGATTTTTGCCCTTCATTCATGGGATCTCCCTTGTTTTTTTGGAAAGAATCTTGGTTGGTTGAGAGTCCTGTGCCTTGATTATAGTCTTCTGCTTTCTTGGGAGCGCCAACTGTCTGCTCCTTGATTTCCCTCTTGATTTCTTTGAGGGGAGCTCGAGGTCTGGCCATAGGAGCTCTAGACAACTAACTCAATCTCCCAGTTTGACCTCTACACCTGAGCTCATTCTTGGGATTTCTTCTGTGTATCATCATAACCATTTAGGGATCGTGGGCACGATGACATCAGTTGATAGATATCACTACAGGACCAAAAAAAAGAGGGGACCCCAGAATCAGTACAAAAGAAAGAAGAAGCCATAAGAAACCCTAGATGAATTACTTTTATGACATCACAACTGAACTACTTTTGCTCAAGTATTTGCTTGTTTCATGCAGCGAATTCTGAATGTGCAGTACTCTATTACAGATTATGTTCATATATCTGCAGAGTGCTGACATTTGATCTCCAAGATTTTTGTAGCTGATCTTGCCAAGGTCAGTTACAGTTTCGTGATACGAGGCAATTCTTCAAATTTTTTGCATTATGTGACACCTTCAGATTTTCTTTTTGGTGCTCTTCTCATTTCTTTTTCTTTTTCCATGGGTGGATTGGGTTTGTGTGGGCATTCTCGTCGGGGAAGGGGTTTTGAAAGGAAGTATATCCCAATAATGAAGGGCTTCCCATCATCTCATCACTACAATGGAGGTATATCCAAATAATGATGCCATGTAAGTCTACTGGGTTTCTTCTTTAAAAAGAAGAAATGACATACATACTTGTACATGATTTTGCTGCAATTTTGATAGGCGACTTAGATGGTTTCCAAAGAGTAACCATAGAAATTATGAGGACCTATCTGCATATGATCTGCTTCTAAATCAATGAATAATAGTGCAGTGTCAACTTGTGATTCCCTGAGTTTCTGTTTTTGATTTCATTCGCTGAATCATCATATTGGAACAGAGTATAACCATGCCTGAGATTAGAAACTGATGATACCCATAAGGAATTCTAGCTAAGTACGAGCACGGGAAGTGAGGTCAAATGAGATATCCAGAGCTCAGTGATCTAGACCTCGAGCTCCCCTCAGAAGAAATAACAAGGAAAAAGAGAAGGAAAAGATCTCGCTGCGGATCCCCTAAAGTTAGGAATTAGCTATAAATAGTGTATAGTGCCTCCAATGCGAGGCACGCCATCTCAATTGTGTCAAAAAAAATACTCTATAAATCGTTTCGATAATGATTATAAACCCAAGGAGCAAGAGACTCTATTAAAGAGTGAATTAGTCAAGCTCCTGAGCTGGTGAACCACTATAACTCCACTGTGCATATCGTCCCAATTTCCAAAAGGATCTTGTTGTAATCCTCTTGAGCTCAGAAGCTCAAGCCAAATCTTAATTATATGAACCACATTCTTCTCACCCATGTTTTATACACCATCAGTTTGGCACCATCTGTGGGAAACAATTGTTCTTATTACAAATACGCTGATCTTTCAGTAACTGATGGTCTTAACTCGCCATATGAGCAAAAACCAAGTGAATCCTCCACGAATGCAGAACCAACAAGAAGTCATTAGCGGCAGGCAACACGAGAATCTTCAAGATTTCTCCCCCATCGCTGAGGCCATTCCTCTCATGGCGGATCCCCCCACGAATAACGAATTGGAGGCTATTTGCCTAGTCAACCAACGTCTACTTCAGTAGAACGAATAGCTCTTAAAGCTCTTGCAAGATCCTCAGCAGACAAGACCAGCCCAAGGTGGTCCCCCACAAGGAGAGTAATGACACCTTGACCCTCTCAAGGAAGTCAAGCCACGCTCCCCATCTGCCTCCTAGGAATGGTGAAAATGAAGAAGTACATAGTCAAAACGAAGAGATAGAGAAAAATGATTTTCTTCCTGTCCAGCAGGAAAGTAGCGAGCAATACTGGGAGCAATGCTTCAAAGATATCTAGCAAGAGCTTAGTCACATGAAGGAAGTTATGCGGGGTAAGACCCTTGTGATGATGGATGCTTTGGTACAACAAACTGAGTCCCCATTCACTGTTGGGGTGCTACATTTTTCCCTTATTCCAAAATTCAAAATGCCCCAAATAGAGGCTTTTGATGGGAATAAAAATCCCATGGACTACCTCAATACCTACAAGAACCAGATAGAGTTACATGGATATCAAGACCCTGTGCGATGCCAAGCCTTCGCCATCACTCTGAAGGGCTCAGCCTTGGCATGGTTCAACAAGCTTCCCCCAGTGTCATTTGCTTCCTTCAAAGAGTTCTCAATATCTTTTGTGTCCCATTTCATAGGAGCTCGCACCTACCGAAAGTCATGCTACCACCTGTTAAATGTAAAACAGGGACCCAATGAAAACTTGTGATCCTATGTCCAAAGGTTCAAATTTGAATCCCTAAAGGTAGACATTTCGGATGAGAAATTTACCATCACTGCTTTTATTACTGGTTTAATAGTGCAATCAAAAGACTTGATGTTCTTCATATAAAAAAACCCATAAGCAAGCATAACAGAGGTGCTAGCCAAGGCAGAAAAGTATATTAATGGCGAGGAAGCCCTCCTTTCTAAGGTAGGGAGCTCATCATCACAGAAAGAGAAAGGGCAAGAAGAAAAAAAGAGGGACCGAAGTCTGAGAAGAGAAAGGGAAAAAGACAGGTCTCCCAGAAAAGAAAGAGAACGATCCTCCAAGAGAAGGGCAAATGTCAGGGATCGCTTAGGTCCTTCGCAGCAAGAACTGCAGCTGAGGTATGCCCCTCAGCAGTTCAACCCTCTCACTGCCACAGTATTCCAGATCTTGCATGAAGTACAGAATGAGAAGTTTCTAAGGTGGCCACCTCTAATGAAGGCGGATCCAGCAAAGAGAGATCCTGAAAAGTACTATGCATACCACAGGGATCATGGTCACCACACCGATGATTGCATCCAATTGAAGAAAGAGATTAAGTCCCTGATCCAAAGAGGGCAACTGTGGCACTTTGTTGTCCATGAAAATTAGAACCGAGCTCCACTATCTCTGGCACCTCAGAAGCAAGCCCCTATGCAATATCAACAATCACTGGGGGAAATCTAAGTGATATCTAGGGGATTTATAGGAGGTGGGGAGTCTAACTCAGCTAGAAAAACTCACTTGAGTAGAATCAGAACTGATAAAGCACTGGATGTGCATACTGTGTCCAAAACACCGCGGTTAGGCACGACTATCACCTTCTCAAACTCAGACTTGGAAGACTATAAGCACCCCTACGACGCCCCTTAGTGGTACGAGCCGTTGTTGCCAACAGAACTGTCCATCGGGTCTTAATTGACAACGATAGCTCTATGAATATCATTTTTGCGTCTGCATTCAACAAAATGGATATAGGTAGAAAAAACTTGAGCCGGTGAGTGCTCAATTGTTGGGATTCTCAAGGGAGAGGGTGCCACCCCTAGGATCAATCCAACTCGTGCTCACCCTAGGTGACCCTCCCTGTCAGGCCACTACTGCTGTAAAGTTCCTAGTGGTTGATGCACATGAGGGTCATTCCTTCATTGAAGACCTTGTTATAAAATCCTACTTGGAAGACTCTCA